CAGGAAAATATAAGATGGGGCAACTGATGGCAATTGGGAGAACTATGTGAGGTCCCAAGGTGCCTACTGTGGAGGAGACTGAGGTGTCGTTGTCCTATGTAGGGTTTCTTGTATCATCTTCAATAAATGTCTCTCTTTTTCATAGTACATGGCTGGATACTCTCTGGACAGACCTCATTTACCTAGGAGCAGACTTGCTGGGTCATAAATGCTGTTTAACATTTTGAGGGAATAAACAACTGAGTTCTAAAGCAGTGAACACCATTTCATGTCCCCACCAGCAGTATATGAAGGTTCCAATTTCTCTACATCCTCACATACTTGCTATTAACTTTGATTACAACCATCCTAAATGGGTATAAAGTGGTATCTCATTGTAGTGTTGATTAGCATTTCCCTAATGACTGATGATGTTGAGTATCTTTTCATGTGCTTATTGGTCATCTGAATATCTTCTCTGGAAAAATGTCTGATCAGATCCTTTGTCCATTTTTAAATTGGGTTATCTTTTTATCATTGAGTTTCAAGAATTTTTTATATATTCTAGATATAAATCTCTTATCAGATATATGATTTGCAAATATTTTCTCCCATTCTGTGGGAGATTCTTTTCACTTTCTTTGAAGTTGTCCTTTGAACACAAAGTTTTTAATTTTAATACAGTCCAATTTATTTACTCCTACATTTTCTTTAAGAGTTTTATACTTTCAGGTCTTACGTTTAGGTCTATAATCTGCTCTGAGTTAACATTTGTGTATAGGTGAGACAGGCTCCAACTGCAATTTTCGTACATTGATAGCCAGGTGTCCCAGCACCATTTTTTGAAAACACAAACTGTACTCATTTTGAAGTACATGATTATAATTGCATAGTCATCTGGCTCCCAGTTAGACTGTAGGTACCATGAAGGCATGGACTGCACCAATCTTGTTCACTACTATATCCCCAGCACTCAGCCTAATGCCTAGCTCTTAATAAGCACTCATAAATATTGGCTGAATGAATTTTATTATTAATAATTAAACACGCTACAATTCTAGGCATTATAATACAATATTACCATCTTCATGTTATTTAGGCTCATAGAAGTTAAGCAATGTGCGCCTGGTATTGTGGTTTTCTATTTTTGACTCAGATGACCCCTTCTCACCTAGGAAGGGGGTTAGTGAGCTTCTCCAGGGCAAGGACTGTTTCTCCTTCCTGTGATGTTTTGCCACCAACACAAATTCAGTTTAGTCTAGGCACAAAGGACAGGCTACACAAATGAGTAACTGTGGGACAAACAGGCAATGACCTACGGGACAAGGTCCCTACCTATTTCCAGTCCCTCTTGGCCTGGAATGTGATCCAGCAACACTGAATAGTATCTAATTTCCCCCTCCCCATCACACACCCTAGGCTGTTTCTTGCCTTGGTACTACCACTCATCCTGTTTCTCTTGCTCAAAATGCTTTTCCCTTCTATTGGCTGTGCCCTACTGATATTTTAAGACTCTAATTAGGTGCCATTTCCTGTAAGACACCTTCTCTGGCACCCCAGGCTGGTTAGGGGCATGTTATGTACTCCTGTCTCTCAGCACTGACCATACGTGTTGTTAGAGTCTTCCCCACTCTCCATCAAGGGCAGGAATCATGCATGGTCAGGTGCCCCCTGTGGCAAGCATATGACCCAGCATGACAGGTGCTCAGTAAATTTTTGTCAAATGAATAAATGAATCCTGGAGAGAACGGGCAGGCAGTCAGAAGTCCAGGTTTTATACCATCAGGCTTCCTTCATTAGAAAATGTTTGGGTATCATGACAAACAACTGAGTTAAGCACTTAGCAGAGCGGCCCAGCTCCCTGCCGGGAGAAGTGAAATGGGTAGGGGTGTTGTCTTTCACCCAAGTTTGTTCTGAAGGAAATGTGATCTCCTTCAGGATAGGGAGGAGAGGGGCCCCTACTTCCCCAGCCCTGACGGCTCCTCATATGGCTCAGGCCAAGCCTGGGCAGATGTGTCTTCAGCCTACCCTGTGCCCTGGTTTCGGGTGAATGATTCTTGAGTCTAGAAGTCAGGCTCAGGTTTGGGCTGAGCCCAGGAGCAGGGCCACCTGCTCATACTGCTGACAGGTGAGACAGGGGATTTTCACTCCTGAAGAGATGAATGCACTAACAAGGTTTAAGTGCCCTGGGGAGAAGAAAGAAAATAGCTGCCACACAAGGAGAAAGGAAGAGAGAGGAAGGGAAGAGAAAGGGACTCAGCCTCCCTCTGATACAGCCAATGGAAATAAGACTCTACACTGCCTGTTTCAGGTTTGCTGAAAATTAAGTAAAAAACAACTTTACCCAAGTTCTGCTGTGCTAGAGAATATGGTAAGAGGTATGGGGAGTTAGATCTTGCCCCTGCCCTGAGGAGGCACACAATCCAGGTTTAAGGTGCAGTCTGGTGTTCAACCTTCTTAATATAAAGAACACAATGTGGCAAGTGGCAGATCCTGCCCTGCCCTGCCCTTCTAGCCAGGCAAGCCCAAACCACACAGTTACCCAGCTCCACATAAAGCACATCAACAGTACCCACACATCAGGGCATCTATCCAGAGCTCTTGGCTTGACCATCTCACGAGGATCACAGAGGATCTCTGTGAGGATTCCTGATCTGCTCCTGATTAATCCAGCATGTGAACCTTGCTGGTTTGTGGACTGAGTGCCTCAGTCCTGACATTCAGCCCTACTTCTCTCACTTCACTTCCAATTTTGCTTCTAGGGAAGGATTATTCTCCTCCCACAGGCTGGCACATCCCCTCCCAGATGACCCTCATTCCCTTTCAGACCAGTGCCTCGCAAAGACACACGCCCCCATCTCCAGCGTCTAGCAGAGGCCCACTCATTCATTCACATGCAAGGACTGTTCGGGGTGAAAGAGAAAATGAAGTCCTAATTCAGGTCTTCATAACCTTGACCTTGTCTTACTAAAACAGCCTTTTAACAAATCTTTCAGCCTTTCCTCAATTCAGTTCATCCTTTGTCCTTCTCAATGACTAACCGGGCAATTTCCCTGCTATAATATTTCCCATGTCTTTCCAGATCATAAAATAAAAATTCAAAACTCCTTACTATGGGCATTCTAGAATTTGCACATTCCAGCTTCTCTTAAATCACCTTCCCGCTTTCCCCACCCTGCAACACCGCGACAAGTACCATATCAGCAGCATCAACATGACCCTGGGCCCAGCAGCCAGCCAGCACCCTCTGCTCCCTGCCTTTGCTCAGCTTATCCTCGGCTCTTTGCTTCTGGGGGGTTGTAGGGAGAGCAGGGAGAGCAGGGGAGAGACTGCCATTCTGAAGGGCGGGGTCTGTGATGCTCATCTCCGATGCCGTCAAAAATGGCAAAGGCTCTGACTGAGTCATCACAACCAGGAAAGGTGGGACAAGAGGAGGCAGGAGAAAAAAAGCAGGCTACAGACTAGGGACACACATGAAAGGCCCCTAGAGACCCTATCCATGCAAATAAGTAAGAATGTGGCTGACACATACACCATAAATCCCATAATTTTTTCTCTTCTCTGGGCAGGCGTTTAATTGCTATTAGAAAAACGTGTATCTAAAAGAGCTAAAATAATTAACCTACAGAGACGCAATGGAAAAGGGTAAACTCAGCCTGCCTGGGTGATGGAAGAAAGGTGGAGCTACAGCACTGCTGCTCTGCAGATGTGCTGTCTAGTCTGGGCTGCCAGAGAAAAACAGCAGCCCGGCAGCCCTTCGCAGTTACCAACAGGTGATTCCAGGGTCAGCAAAGGCCTGAGGAGGGAGCCCAGCCAGTCTCACCCCCTCGGTCCCTTGCGCTGCAGTAGAAGGAAGCGAGGCTCATCTGTTTCTGGGGGAATGAAGATGCCACGCACAGCCTGCAGTTATGAATGGCTCTTATAACAACAAACTGACATCTGCGCTTGGTTTTTAAGATGCATCATCGCATGTTTATTAAACTATTGCTCTATCATATTTATTAGGCTACGAAACAACTCCCAGCCCATACTTCCAAAAGTGGTTTATTAAAAACTAAGCCTTGAACATTAATACTCAAAAGCACCCTTGAGAATCAATAATAATGCTGCAGATAAAATGAAAGAGAATCAAAGCAGTAAGTCTTGGTGGGGGCTGTAGCTGCCTTTCAACACTTTCTCCTACGCTCAGGCAGCTGGAGTGGGGAAGACCACCAAGGGTGTGTGGGATTGGGTGCAGGGCTAGCTACCCCAAACACGAGACTTCCTGCCTAACATGTGGACTTGGTAGCATGGGAGGAGGACTGTCTTATGGCCATCTAGATGTATGCAACAGGCCAAAAAGGCCAAGACTGGACCCAGTGAGAGCCTCTAGTTTCACTAAGAATAAAACCTCTCCCCTAACCAAGAGTCCGATACTGATGCCCTATGCTGGCCCAATCTGAGCATCCATCGTGGACACATACTCTGTCCTGAGCCCTGAGTTGAGTCCTGCCCCTGCCCAAGAACAAGCCTCAAATCCAACCAGCCAGTGGCCACAAGGGACACAGCTGAGCCAAGGAGACTGGATAAATGCAATTGGCTCATGGGCAGGGATCCAGCATGTGCACCCAAGGCCTTTCTAACCCCAGAAGACCTGGCAGAAAGGTCTCTTCCAGCTCCCTCCCAAATCCCCAAGCCTCTCCATGGGTGCCCACCTGCACCACATTCAGGCAACAAGCAATGACATATGGCCAGTTCCACAAACGATCAAGAACAAATTAGAAGACTCAGTGAGGAAACCACAGAATGCAGAGGGGACTCCAAACCATGCCCTGTGAAGAACAAAACAGTGGAAGGATCCAGGGGTGTATGAGGTCAGAAATAAAGGGCTCACCAAGGGAGCTCAGGTGACTCAGTAACTACAGGGTTCAGTTCCCAGCTTAGTATGAGGATTTCTTCGAAGTCAGTCATCACCAGAAGAAGGGGCCCACCCGCCTCAGCCCCTCCAGCGGGGAAAGCAAGACCTGAGGTTCGATACTCACCTGCTGACTTCTTGGACATTGTTGGCACGAGCAGCTTCCATCAGAGCTGCATCTGGAGAAAGAGAGGGCACTGGTCAGATTTCTGGCCAGAACCTAACCCTCAGGACAGCTTAGAGGGCCCAGTAAGACAGTGAAAGTAGGAGCACTTCAGAAACATGGGCTTTAACAAGGGAAGTAATGCCAAGGTACAGGCATCCTCAGAAATACTGTGTCAATTCTAGACCACCGCAATAAAGCGAGTGTCGCAATTAAGTGAGGTGTAATCTTTTTGCTGGTGGAGGGTCTTAACTTCAATCTGTAAAACAACAACAACAAAAACCCCTGCAACATCTGTGAAGTACAATAAAATGAATGCAAATAAAAGAGGTATGCTGGTAGGTAAAGAGAAGGCTAATCATCCCACGCCCACATGTTAACTTGTCTTCCACATCTTTCTGTTATAGAATCCAAACTCTTAACTCTTCTCATCACATAGGTGATCCCAGTAAAGTGCTAGCACCAAGTGTTGCCAATGGTAACTGCTCATTGTGTGAATTCCTTTGCTCTTCATTAGATAGAAAGCTCTACATGTTTTTCATGACTATTGTTATTAGTCATTCCCTGACGTTACCCCACTTTCTTTTCCAACTCGTGTCTCAGCCTAGTTTTGATGGCACAGGTCACAAGCCCAGAGGTAGGGTTAGGATGGGGAGGGGCAGGCTAAGGGGAGCATGGGCCTTCTGAGAGCAGAGAGAGCCTCCACCAGGAGTCAGGAGACCTGGCTCCAACAAACACTGCTTCGTACTTACCATGTGCTGTGGCAGCCCCTTCCCCTCTCAACCCCAGCTTCCCTGACTGTAAAGTAGAGGCAAAAAGCCTCACAAGGATGCTGAGGAAATGAAATGATGACTGGTAAATCTGCACACTCCCTGATGCCAAGCCCAGCAAAGAGAGACCCAAAGTATAGGGTTCTGATTCTTAGGGATTACCTAGAATGATGCTGGTACCACCTTGTGGCCACAAAGAAACAGTGACTAAAAAAAAGAAAAATCTCCAAAGATAAGAGAAGCACAATTTTTCCACAGAGCAAGTACCAGGGAGTCCTCTGAGCCCAGCGTGGGTCTGAGCTCCAATGTTGAACACTGGATGGACTCACACCCAGTGCTGCCTTAGGGAGTTCTCAGCCCAGCCAAGAGACTCACCCAGTAAAACAGCATCGGAGCAGGATAGAAAGCAGGATCTGGAGACAGACAGACCTTGGCTCCCATCCAAACTCTGTCCCTTACTTTCTATACCACCTGGCCAACTCACCTAACCTCCTGGACCTCAGTTTCCTTATCTGTACAATAGGGATAAGATAACCAACTTATCAAGCATATGCAAACCAGCTCTGTCATTCAGCCATTGATGATTCTACCCCACCTCCCAGTCTAGACCACAGGGCTAAGTCTTTCCTGGTTATCTTCCTAAGCAGGTACCCAGGCAGCCCCCAGCTGGAAGGGAAACAAGCCTTCCTTGGATATGGCTATATCCATTCTTCCCTCCATTAAAGTGGCTTCTGCATGGTCACAGAGGAAGAGAAAAACGAGCCGAGACTGAACCCGGGCCTCCTGGCTCCTAAACTGTACAATTTCTACCACATAGCACTGAGGGCCTGGGTTTACAATTCCGACTCAGGGAATAGGGTAGCTAGCAAGTCAGAAGGGTTGGAAATGGTCATGGTCTTGGTCATTATCTATTTTGGTAGACAGACTCTGGTCTCCTTGCTGGGGTTCACATGTCACAAAGGCCAGTCCAGAGCCCCGAAGAACCTCTAACAGGCAAAACCTTGGACACCTCCCCCTAATACTTCTAAACATACTGGCCTCAGGACATTTCCTGAGTTCATGGCTCTCCGATGTCTCTAGGAGAAATTCCTATCCATCCTGACTAACATCCAGGCCCCACTCCATTTGCTCTCACCTCATCCCAAAGGCCCTCTGTTCTCCAACCAGGCTGGCCATTCTAGTAGTTCCTGCACACACCATGCTGATCTGTGACTCCCATATCTTCATTCCCTGCAGGCTTTGCATGGAATACAATCCAACTCAAGACACACTGAGTACCTACTAAGTTCCAACACTATGGTGGACAATGTGAAGGTATTAAAAAAAAGGAGCTGGTATCAACCTGGGGGGGGCAGGGGGGAAAGATGCAGTCCCTGCTCTCATGGAGGTCACAGTGAGGCCTTTTCATCTCTTGTCTCAGCCTTCACAAGGCAAGTTCATATTTCCCATCCTCCAGGGATCTCCAATCTTCCAGGAAGGCCTTCCTGACTCTGTTAGCCCTCTGATCCTCCACCTACACAGCGTCAGATCACTCACCAGACCCCCAGGTCTGAGTGCTTACACTGTCTTCTTAACTAACTTTGTGTTGAGTTAGGAGTTCCACACCTAGCCCAAAACAAGGCACGCAGAGGGTATTCAAGAATGCTGAAAGTTATAGAATCACAGAATGCCTAAAGTAGAAGAGCTCTATTTCAATATCCTCATTTTGTAGATCAGGAAACAGAGGGCCAGTGGGGAGAAGCAAGGGTCCAAAGTCACAATGGGAGTTAGAGGTAGAACCAAAACAAGGCCCCAGTTGTTCTTACTCTCAGTCCAAGGCCCTTCCTTCACAGCTGCTGAATAAGCAAATTTTAAGACAGTCCCCCCTCCCTTCTTGCTCCAAAGTCTCAGCGCTGGGGATGTATGGAATCTATGAATACTACGCCTCAGAAGACTGTTCCCTGTGTGGAACAACGGAGAACCTGAGTGGTTGGACTCATGTAGACCAGAAGTCTGGCTCTCTGCCTGCTGTCCCAGTCCCTGCTTAGTAACATACACCCAGGTGAGATGCCAACCTGGGTCAGCCGGCCTCCATGGTTGCTTAGGATCTCTAGGGAGTCAACTTCCTAGTCTTCCTTCTCCTGCTAACTCCCCCAATGGCTAGATCAACTCATGCCTGAGGCCAGCAAAACCCTGGGAGTCTGATGGACAGACCCAGCTGCTGAACTCCAAGAAAGTCCAAATAACAGCACTGTAAGAGTACTGAGAAGTCATCTTTCACTGTATAAGTGTGGAAAGTGAGGCCAGAGAAAAGCAAAGGGTACAGAATGGCAAGGCTGGCATTGAAATCAGGTCTTCCTCCTTTCTTAGGCCACGTTGGGGGTTAAGCTCTAAACTATTTAGCAGTTGCCCTCAAAATACACCGCAGTCTCTTAGAGACCTCTTAAAGAGGAATTGGACCAGACAGAATTTTAGAGCATTAAAGGACCATGCTCTAATTTTAGATGTTTAGTACCATGCTCCCATTGTACAGCTCAACAAAATGACGCCCAAAGATGGGAGGCTGCAGTATTAGACACTGATCTCTCCAGTGCAAGCCCTACCCGTGTGATGATGTCTGGGTCCCTCCAGGACTGAGTCTCTGCTGTTCTAAATCTATAAGCAACTCCCACACTCCCAAGATAGGGTCAGGACACTCCTCCCGCCTCTCCATTCCTCGAACCCAGGCTGTCCCAATAATCACCCTTGCTGGACGGGCTCTTGCTGTAACAGTGAACCACCAGCGCCGTCGCCAGGGCCCACATGCCCAGTCCGACTCTGTTGGGGAGCTCATTCCAGCAGTCCTGTCCGGAGAGTGTTTCTTCGGGGCTAAGAATGCGTCCCCATGTGGTAGCTGCGAGGCACTGGGTCTCGACACATCCTCCCTGGCGCCCCCCGGTGGCTGCCCCTCTGCAGGTGACCAAGGCCAGCGATGTTCCAGGACGCCCCCCGATGGCCGGCCTCAGCCACTGCGGCTCCTCGCAGCGCCCGGTGGTCACACTCTGGCCGTAGGGACTTCGGTGGCTCCGGAACGATGGAGACCTAAGCAGTTGAAGGAGGAGCCGCCGCGCCAGTGCTGTTTTCCTCAACACAAGGGACCCCAGCATCGTGACAGCTGCTTCGATAACCCCCTGGTGCCGGCCCCTGTGCTCGCCACGTCCAACATGGCTGCCGTGGCGCGAACGGGGTGGAATTACGCACTACCTCATGGGAGTGGTAGTCCGCAGCTCTAGAGCTTTCCGCAGCTGGAGGACGAATAAACTACAGTTCCCAGAAAGCTATGGAACTCGTGTCACAATGACTGCCGATTTACAGTGGCTCCGGGGCATGTTGGGAAATGGAGTTCGGGCGGGGGGCGTGGCGATTAAGATACGGATCCTGAGTGTAGCTCAAACACGCGCTCGATTTAAATAGGGATCTTCTGCAGAGGCCTACTATGAAACGTATGCTTATTTCTTTTGGTACATTTCTCTTTTCAGCCTGAGACAGCTTTTCTAAAAGATCCACCTGCAATAGGAAGTCCTTTTATTTTCCTATCTTCCTTTCGGTTGAAAAACTGATACCCTGTCCTGCTTTCTCCCTTGTGTTATTTTCAAAGGGCTTTCTTGTGGCCATCTCATCTTGTCCTCATGGCAGCTGCGTGCGGAAAACTGGGCAAGGATTATTATTCCAGTCTAAGGGGAAGGGAATTTAGGTTCAAAAAAGTGAAATGATTTGTCAATAAATAAAGCTCAAGTCTTCTGACTCTGAGCCATCCTCTCCATGTACACCTACAACCCATCCTGGCCCCTTTAGCAGACTGAACTCAAAAACAGACAAAAGGAGGAAGCTCTTCATTCCAGTCCTGTCCCTTACTCCTGTACTTCCTGTAGGTCTCTGCTACAAAATTCATGTTATCAGAACCTTCCCTGACAATTCTATTTAAAATAGCAGTCTCCCCTCCCCCTATTCTTTTTATCCTTCCTAATTTTTTCATCGCAGCACTTACCAGCTGATATACTCAATATGTATTTGCTTTATTATCTTTCTCCAATAAAACGTGACTCCCATAACCCAGAGACTTTGTTTTTTCACTTTTATATCACTAGCACCAAGAACAATGGCTGGAACAAAAAGAGGTACTCAATATTACGTCAGTGAATGAATTGCTCTCATCTTATTAGTGTTGGGGAATGAGTATGAGACTTAGAGTATAGGCAGTCCTGGCTTTCAGTTTTGACGCTTGGATTTACTACATGTGTGATCTTAGACAAATTTCTTTACCTGTTTGTTAATTTCCTCATCACAAGACAACTGCTTGTGTTAAATGAGATAATATGTAGACCATCACCATCCCTGCCACATTGTAGGTTTTCAAGAAATTGTGGCTATCATATTTCCTACTCTAAACTTCTTAAGGACATCAAAAGAGTTTCTCATTTCTTCATCCCTTTGTAAGGCACTAAGCCAATAGCTATTGAATACAAGAAAATGAACGTATATTTTAAAATTACTGAAGAGCCAAAGCATTTTGACCTTCCTAGTTTAAGAGGTTACTAGGATATCCTGTCTTGTCAGCCACTCTATTCAATATAGCAGCTTCACCCTCCCTGTATTCTTAGAATACTCTGCCTCCCAATTGAGGGTGGGTCAAGATAGAGTGCATCTGAACATTTAGGTTAATGTCAGCAGAAATAAGCAGAGTTCAAACCCTGTTGCTGTAGACACATTACAGGGCCCTTCAGTTTACTTAGCCCTGCATAATTTTCACAGTACATACCTGTTGATTCTCTCATTTGATTTTCACAAATAATATCCATTGGGGATCAAAGACAGGGATGAAATCACCATCAGCATTTGGTAGGGAGTGCTGAGACATTAAGTGATCTGTCTGACTGAGTGGGAAGTAGTCGGGGAGCATGGGAATATCCATCAGAGTCAGTCAGGCTTAAAATGGATTCTAGATCTTCAATAACCAATTCAAAAACCCCTAGGTCACATTGCTGACTTTCAAAAAAATCTTCAACTCCAGATGACTTCCTTTTGATCTACTCAAAAGCAGGGGGTTATATCAGGTTCCAGTTACCCTAACTTGGTCTTGAGTTTCTAGCTCTTGGGTTAGGGGACAGAGAACTCCAGCTTCATTTAGTTTATAATGAAGTGACAAGGAGATATTAGAATGGCGTTTAGAAGGAGGCAGAAAGTGAAGGGTCAGTGAATGCAATTTCTGTGGTTACCTACCTCTGGAGTAGAGTTAGAGGCCATTCTATATGTTTCTGAAGAAGATGCTTCCCTGAGAAAGAAAACAATACTACACATTTTTTCTTTAAGAAACTATATTTATTTTTAGAGAGAGGGGAGGAATGGAAAAGGAGAAGGAGAGAAACATTGATGTGAGAAACATCAACTGAGAGCCACACTGGTTAAGACAATAACGTATTTTTAAATGAATAAGTACATCATAGATAATAAGAGCTGAGTTTTTCTCTGTTGGAGAAAGATGTTATAAATAAGGAAAGAGAATGCTAAAATGAACCTTGTGGTCCTGGACTGGAATTAGGGGTATCAGTACAAACTTATGATTTTAAAATATATATACAGATAGATCAACACATAAATATAGATATGTAAGTATACATATGAGTTAGGACAGTCCATATATTGTTTACCTTGTCAAGGAACGCAGGTGCCAATCTGAAGGAGTTTCTCATGACCAGAGCTGGAACAATTAAGCCAATAAATAAATAAATAAATAAATAAATAAATAAATAAATGGGTTTTTTTACCCATTGAGTAAAACAAATATCCATGATGTCTTATCGATATACATAGTCAAATAAATAAACAGATCAATGAGGGAGGAGTAGAGAAAGAGACAGCTCTTTCTGACAGTAGAAATTAAATTAATAAATGTAGAAGGAAGAGGGAAAATAGAGATCACCATTAGGCAAATGCCACAGTAATAAATATATCAGACAAGATCCACAGATGGTACTAACATTAGTGGGTAAAATTTGAGGAGAAACAGGATTTGTATAGTCTCAAGGCATCTCTTTAAAGATACTTATCAACTACAAAAACTTTGCAGTGGAGGAACCAGGAACACACCAACATAACCAAGTGATCAAGGTAAATGTCACCAATAATAAGAGATGCAGATATCATGAATCCCTTGATCCGTTCTGATTAACCCCAATGAGTAAAAGATCTTTTAAAATATATTTAGCACTGTACCTAGGAGTTAATGCATAGAATTTGAAGACATAGAATTCACTTGCCATGGGTCCTACTGGATATGGCCATACTATTTCCATGCCCACTCTCCCACACAGATGAGAGGATTTATTATTAATACTAGCAGCTATATTTTATGTTTCAGCCACTGTGCCACATAACCTACCTGCATCTATTATATATGTAAATGCTCAGAGAAGTTTCTCTCAGGTTTCCTGGATGTTTTTTCATGTGATCTCTCTAGCCAATAAAGATAGCAATGACCACATATAAATACATCTGAGAAATCTTGGAGAAACTTATCCAAGCACTTTACACAAACAGAAGAATTTAGTAGCTACTGAACACTGAGTATTTATTCTTAGTCACTTTATATGAACAAGCTCACTTAATCCCTACATTAATCCATGAGTTATATACTATTAGTATTTCCAGTTTTGTCTGACTCAGAATCTAAACTATGACCCATTACGCAATTTGCTTTATGAGGAAGGAAATGTGTGTGTTTGTTGTGTCTATGTTTGTGGGGGCATGTATGAAAGATCTTCTGCATTACTTTTTCTCAAATACACTGCATGCTTTCCTGTATAAAAAATAGAAGACAGTAAATATAGTCTAATCTTTTCCTGATCATCATGGTTATTGCTATTGCACTGAATTACACAGTTTGCTTTTTTGAGGAAGGAAGTGTGTGTGTGTGTGTGTGTGTGTGTGTGTGTGTGTGTGTCTTTTTTGTCTACATGCATTGGGGTATGTGTGAAAGATCTTCTGCATTATTTTTTCTCAAATACATCGCACACTTTCCTGTATAACAAAGAGAAGATAGTGAATATGATTTAATCTTTTCCTGATGATCAAGGTTATTGCTATAGCAACAGATTTTTTTGTACTATATTGTAAATGTAGAAGACTTATGCTCCAATCCAAACTATGCTTAGAAAATATTTTGCTAAATAAATCTCTTATATCAACTTCCTTTCTTGTCATCTGTGTCTTTCCATAGAATCAAAGTATAGCATGTGGTCTCTGAGCAGAATAACATAGCTGCTTTCACACTAAGAGTAAGAATTGCATTTATGATAAATCTGCCATTTTACATAAATGAGGAAAAGATGAATTATTTAGTAAATGGTGTTGGGACAGCTGGGTGGCCAGGGGAAAAAAAGAAATTGGATTTACATCTTACCCCACAACCAAAATAAATTCTTACTAAATCAAAAGATTTAAATATGAAAAAAAGAGAGACCAGAAAAATTTTAGAAAAAAAGCAAAGTAATTCTTAAGAGTAACTGGAGTAAGGAAACTTTCTAGGTATGACACAAAACTCAGAACCCACAACAGAAAAGACTAATATAGTTAGCTCTACAAAAAAACAATTCTGATGGGGAAATACCATAAACAATGAAAAATAGAATTGATCATCTGGGAAAAAATATATTTGCACCACATCCGTAAAGGGCAGTAATACAGAAACGTCTATAAAATATGAAAAAGATCTACAATACAGAAGATAAATGGACAAAGGCAACTCCTTTGTGCACAGTACAGAAAGGGGCTCCTAAGGGATGAATTAGAGAAAGGCGCACCCATGAAGTCTGCACAGCTAGAAGAGCAGTATGTGGCCAGATTTCAGCTTCCACCTTCACAAACTGCGCCTCCAAACTTAGCAGCCCTGAACAGAGAGCTCACAAGCACAAAAAAAATTAAACATATGAAAATATGCTCAACACCACCTGTGATAAGAAATACAGAGGTCCTGGCCAGGTTGCTCATTTGATTAGAGTGTTGTCTTGATACGCCAAGGTTTCCGGCTCGATCTGTCAGGGCACATACAAGAAGCAACCAATGAATGCACAAATGAGTGGAACAACAAATCAATGTTTCTCTCTCTTTCTGTGTCTCTCTCAAATCAATAAATAAAAGAAGAAATGCACAAGTCAAAACT